TAGAGTGCAATATAGAAAACAATTGATGATAAATTTTTTGAGAATAATTAATTATTATTAAATAATAATTTATTATTGAATTACATGTCTATAACATGTGAAATACAAACTCCTTCAGAGAAGTGCAAAAGCTGTCTCGAAAATCATCCAAACTTGCTTGTCAGATAACTATGATTGTTACAGCTCTATGTGAACTAGGTTAAAAGAAATTTATTTTAGATTAATCTCTATCAATCCCAAAATCTCATATAATAATTAGAGGATTTTTATTTTCAAAGCCATAATTAATCCTGCAATTACACTGGTGCTTTTAGAGGTGTAAAAACTAATGTATAATAAACAAAATACGTTTTTATGCATTTTTTGCTTGTATATTTCTATTATATTATGTAGATATATGAATAAATATGTTTATATATGTATAAAATTAATCTAAATAATAATATATTCATTCCAATTTTTCAACTTCCCGAAAGAGAATTTTATGTTTTCTCGACGTTTCAAGCCATTCTGAATCGAATGAGAACAAATTTGGAAAAAGTATGTGCAAGGGTATGTGTGTGTGCGTGTATGTGAACAGATATTTTGCCGCAAATCGACGTTTTTTCAAAAACGTCTGGACCTATTTCATAAATTTAAAAGCCATTCGATGTATCTCGATAAGGACTATTGTTTGTCAGTTTTGTGCGACGATCTGTCAAACCGTTTCTTTGTAATTTGGACAAAAGTGTTAAACTTTTCGTCCGCGTTTAAGCTCATACCAGCGAATTCAAAAAAATCGAAATACCAAAAAAAATTAATAACAGTTCGAAAGATATTAGTTGGGAATGATACTGATTAGTTTTAGGTGAAATTCTATCGAGCCGTTTTCTTGCAATTAACTGTTGAAAAAAAAATTAAGACGAACTTTTTTGGCGATATATATCATGGTCTTATAGAACTTACTGAAATATTACGGCCATACGTAATATTTCAATTCTTAATTTTAAAAATTCATCGAATATAAATTAATTTATATTTTATGATTAATTTGATTACACCAACACCAACTAGTTTATTTATTTATTTGAATCAATGATTCATAGGCGGAAATCATCGACCGCAGTTTGTCCATCACTGAAGCGCGTAATGATAACACAAAGATAGAGATCAACAGATGGTGTTTGGCAGTGTTTACGAGCCCAGCCTAGCTGTCAAATTGACAGTCCTTTTGCTACCTAGAAGATGCAAGATGTATCTTAAGCATTTTTAAATTATTTATTATTATTTTTTTCTAATTTATAGTAATGGAAAGTGAAATAAATAGACGACCTTTATTAGAAGATAGTGATAGTGATTTTAACGAAAACGACAATGACATAGAACATGAACAAAATGAGGACCATATTATAGTCCAACCCCATAATAATAGAAAGACATTCTTAAAACTATTTTAAAAAATTTTACCCCCTGATAAATACAATGTATCGTATTTTATATTTTATTTACTTGGTATGACAACTTTATTACCATGGTGCTTTTATGTTACAGCAAATGAGGCTAGTATTAGATCATAATTATACCTATAACATACTTAATACATTATACTAATATTAAAAATATTTTATGGATTTTTATTATAGTATTGGATGTACAAATTTAGAGATGTATCACAAAATAATACTTTTAACCGGACAGCATTACAAGTGGGATTTACAGCATATTTGACTGTAGCTTCCTCCATTCCGAATACTGTATTTTTAGTAATAAATGCCATGGTTTGCCATAGGTAAAATATAATAAACATTTATCTGTACTATAATATAAAAATAATTATTACTTTTATTTCCAGAATATCATTACATTTACGAATGCATGGATCTTTAATAATTATGACAACATTATTTATTATTACGACTGCGTTAGTAAAAATTAACACTGATAGTTGGCAAGAGAATTTCTTTATTTTGACTATGCTGAGCGTAGTTTTTATGAATTGTAAGTTAAAATAAATTAAAAGTTTTTATAAACAAAAATAATTATGTAAACTCTTGAAAATAACTGATTAATTAAATAAACTAATGCATATAATAATATATGCGTACAATATGCATGGGTTGTTCATGTTCAAACAAATTAATTTAAAAAATGTGCTTTAAAATATTTTAGATGCTGCCATGATGCTTTAGTTATGTAATTTTAATAATTCAAAAAAATTCTACAATTTCATTTTTCAGGTGCCAGTGCTATAATGTCCGGTGGCCTTTTTGGCATAAGCGGCAGATTTCCAGCGCAATACATATCAGCTGTTGTGAGCGGGCAAGCACTAGGAGGAGTATTTGCAGCAGTGTGTGAAATTGTTTCATTATCATTAGGAGTTAATGCAACTCTTAGTGCACTTATTTATTTTATCATAGGAGTATTTGTACTAGCTCTCTCAAGTGTAGCTTATACGACTTTGACAAGAACAGCATTTTTCAAATACCATTTACTATGTGAGGACCAAGTTGAAGAAGACATTCCAAAACCACCCATTTCTATAAATAACATTATGAAAAGGATCTGGCCATATGCTTTTGCTGAAAGTTTTATTTTTGTTGCAACATTATCTGTTTATCCTGGAGTGACTGTCTTGGTAGATTCTGAATACAAAGGAAATGGTCAACCTTGGAATGGTAGCACAAATTTCAATGTTATATATTTTATATATATATATATATATATATATATATATATATATATGGTGAAGTTAATAACTTTATAAATTACATTATTGCAGATATATACTTTGTGCCTGTGGTTTGCTATTTTATATTTAGCACTGGGGATTATGTGGGAAGAATTATTGCTGGATATTTTTTATGGGTATAGCGATGACCTTTATAATACAGATATATATATTTTAAACATAAATAAAATCTATGTATTTACATTTTTAGCCGAAAAATAAGCCATACATTGTAGCAGGTTTAAGTCTCATTAGAGTAATTTTTGTACCAATTTTAATGATGTGTAATGCTCATCCTCGGCATTATTTACCCATACTTATAGAAGAAGATTATATTTATATATTAATAATAACAATTTTTGCTTTAAGCAATGGATACATTGCTAATATTGCTTTGATATATGCACCAAAGTAAGTGGAAATCTACCAGGTTCAAAATAATATCATACAAAATTTAAAATAATTATATTTCAATTTCAGATGTGTTGAACCACATGAGAAAGAAACAGCGTCATCAATTATGGCAGCTTTTCTAGGTATAGGACTTGCAATTGGCTCAAGTCTTAGTCTTATCATGGTTAATCTATTATAAAATTAATGTTAGAAAAAATAACATTTCTAATTATGAGTAAAAATTTTATTAGTTTTAGTATATGTTCAAAAATATGTGATATTATAATGATATTAAACTATTTTATTTAAATGTATGATTGTTTTATATTTTACTTCACCACTGCGACAGTACGACGCGTAACTAACTGAATTTTATATCTTATCTTATAATATTTATAATATTTTCCGTTATATTATTTATTTAAAAAAATTCAAATCTTAGATCGATAAGTAATAAATAATAATATGAAAATACAAAATGACGAATTCACACTTTGCAAAATAAATAGTGATTCATTTTCACCTACGAAAAATGCTTTTCTTTTGAAATTCTATAATAGCAAATGCAAAAAAAAGACCTTCAATAACCGTGGTAAATATAGTTACATCTATTTTTATAAAATGTTCAAACAATAGGCAATTTTTTTAGAGCGAGATGCATAAGTATATGATCTAAATTTAATTTTTTATGAAGGAATATTGTAACTCGCAATTTTACTAAAATTAATTAACGCAATATTTTAAACAATATTAAAAAAAAAATAGAATTATGCATTGATTCCCACATAGAAGCGGTGAATGTAACAATAACTCACGGGTCAAATGTTAATTACAAAGAAACGGTCAATCTTTACCAAAAAGTAAACAACTATTTTTAATTAAACTGTTAATTAGGATAAAACAAAATCACATGCAATTAATTACCACGAGTCATTGCCAAGCTTTATCAAAAATGCCGATTTTCAAAATTCAAAAGTCGCTTGGCTTATCGGCGAAACGAACAAATTTTCGTTAATATTTTTAAAAAACGATACAAAATGAACTGAAAATTAGGGAATCAAATCAAATTTGAAAACTTTACTCCTTCGGGTAGTTGAAACAAATATAAGTACTTAATAGATAAAATTTTATAGCTTTTCTGTGAGATAACTAAAACTGCATATGTATTTTTTTTTATTAATGTATGTATAAAAAATTTTAATGCCAATTTTTTAGAAAAGTTCGATAACATTGAAAATGTACAGTCATTAAGTTCCAGTAGAATTTCAATAAGATTGAAACTGAAAGTAATAAAATATGTGAATGCAAATATGCGAGTTGAACTATATTTTAATTAGCGAATATAGTATTTGTAATATCCCATTTCATTCAATTAATTCAAAATACCCAAAAACGATAATTTTTATCAATTCCATCCAATATTTTTAGAGTTTTTGAACTTTTGAAAATTCTGAAAAATATATTTTTAAATTTTTTAAATTTTTTGGAATATTATTTGTATATTTTGAATAATGCGATAAACTACTAAAAAATGTTTTATTTGTTGTATTTATAGATAACTTAATTAATAAAATAATTATAGAGAAATGAAATTTTTAAGTATATGCAAAACATATGTACTTAATTTATAAATTTCATATCGGAATTCTAAAATCTATTCAAATTCTAGTATGTTATGAAAAAGTCAACATTTCATTACTCGATGCGCAAAATAACAGACTTTAAATAGATATTGAAGCAAATTAAATAAACAAATATGATAATTCTCCGATCAGCCTATAAATTGTAAACAACAGTCGACTTGCGAGTCAGAATTTAACCTTCAGTGGGTAGATGGCGACTGAGAAAATATGTCGTAATAAGATCGCTGTGGCCTAATTTTTTATTTGGTTCCAAATGTCAGAATTAACAAAATTTCAATGCCGTGTGTCGTAATGGTAATGGTAATGGTTCTTCTCAGAAACTTTATCCACTTGCGAGCGTAGTTGCGCTCGCATCAAATCAGTAATAAACGAATTACCTTAGGTGTAACTTGTGATAAAAATGTTTGTTTTGTGCAATAAAAGTTGGTGTTGTTATTTAACTAAATGTGAATTATTGAATAAGTTTTAAGATTTGACAATGTATTGGACAGTTCACTTAGACGGGGGACCCCGGCGCGTGAATCACGCCGCTGTTTCGGTCGGGGAGCTCATTTATTCCTTCGGTGGTTATTGCATAGGATCTAGTTTTCAAGAGACTGAATTAATGGATGTTCATATTTTAAATTCAAACAATTATAGGTGGACTTTATTAACCCACGATAGTGAATTAAAATCTAACAACATACCTTTTCAAAGATACGGTCACACTGCAGTGGCTCATGGCCAAAATATTTACGTTTGGGGAGGTAGAAATAACATGCAAGCATGCAATATTTTATATTGCTTCGATACCACGAACAATCAATGGTCAGCGCCCCAAGTCAGAGGAATCGTCCCAGGAGCAAGGGATGGACATTCAGCGTGTGTTATAAATAATAAAATGTACATATTTGGTGGTTTTGTAGAACATATCCAAAAATTTTGTCAAGATGTTTACTATTTAGATTTGACCATAATGAAATGGAATTATGTGTGCACTACAGGGGAACCGCCTTCATATAGAGATTTTCATACGTCAACTCCTATAGGTAGAAGAATGTATATATTTGGAGGACGAGGAGACAGGAATAGCCCTTACCATTCTTCACAAGAATTGTATTGCAATGAAATGAAATATTTGGATACTGACAATGCTACCTGGTATGAATCACCAGTTGCGGGTGAAGTACCCATAGGAAGAAGAAGTCATTCTGCTTGTTAGTCTGGACTTATTTCATTGAGTACTTGCATAATTTGCTATAACTAAATCAGTGTCAATTTTGTAGAAAAATAATTACTGTTATAGAATGCATTCCTCGTCATATTTATAATTTAAGGGGGTATTCTAGTGTAGAAATTCAAAAAAATCGATTTTTTTTTAATTTCATATTTTCAAAGTTTAACTATCTAAGAATATGGGTACGAGAAGGTTTTTGAAAATTTGAATTATTTTCGGAGATATAGGCATTTTACTGACTCGGTCTCCATACTGGTTTGGCTTCACACAAAACTTTAAATGCGTTTTTCTCAGAACTTACTTTTTCAGTACTCTTGTCACGATTTCTGGAGTTCTACTCGACCAATTTATTTGAAATTTTTAGAGAGTCTTGCTTATAGATCTATCTACAGTCTGAACTAGAATCATCCCGAAATTCCAATTTTTACTATTTTTAAAAAATTCGAGAAACTCAAAAAAACAGTAAAAAAAGCCTTTTTTTTTCAAACAGTCGCCAATTTGTGAAAAAAAAAATTTTCACTCATCGCTAGTTTAGCCGATTGCGACATCATTGTAGATTAATAATCTTTTTATTTTTTGCATTTCCGATGGCTAGGAGGGCTGAAATCATGTCAAGACTGAGGTGCCATTTTTTTGAGACCACCCACTTCATCAGCTGCCAGTTTTTACAATTTTCAACTTTTTTATTTTTCAATTTTTGTTTTGTACTTTAATAATATAAATAAACAAGTGGTAAAAAATGGATAGTAAAAACATTCATTGCTTTCTTTTACGACACTTTAAAAATGACCTAAAATTCATCGCTCTACACTAGAATACCCCCTTAAATAATTGCATCTGATAGAATTCTTTATTTAATACTAAAACTCACGTTTGTATAAATTCCACAATAATTCTATGAAGTTGAACTTTACAAAACAACAGTATTGATTTGCTCATTTGACTGATTATTAGATTAAACCCAGATTTTAAAACAAATCTTTTCTGTAATTTTGAAAAATCTAACAAAATATATGCAAGTTCTCAATTTTGAAAGTGTGTCCAATGATTACCATAATAATTGATCTCTTTTTAGTTGTTTACAATAATATGATATATATCTTTGGTGGATATAATGCTCTAGAAGATGAACATTTTAATGACATATATTGTTTTTGCCCTAACACTAATGTATGGAATTCTGTAAAAACTTTTGGGCGATCTCCATGCCAAAGAAGGAGGCAGGCTTGCGTTTTAGTAGGAAACAAATTATATTTATTTGGAGGAACAAGGTGTGATATTTTTTAAAGAAATATTTAAATTTTATATATTCAGATTTATAAAAAAGAATACATTATTGCGAATAGTGAAAAATATGCTCGCAGCAAATGAACTAGTAGTAAATGTTGTGGTTAAAGAAAGAAAATATGAAACACATTGCAGCAATGTTATTTTTTCATAGCATTGGTTTTATTAATTGTATTGATTTTAAAATTCCCGATAAAGCAAAGCTCACATGGCTGTTTTTCAAACTTGTTTATATATTAAAGTATTTTACAGCCTTGATTGTGTTTCATAAAAAATAAAAATATAAGTAAAAAAATATATAACATCATTATAAAAAAAAAAATAAAAACTAAATAAAAATCTAATAGTAATATGATCGGATCTTATATTAATGATTACATGAATTCATAAGGTTTCTCAATATAAAATATTGGATTAATTTTGATAAAATATGAATTGTCAATGAAAACAATATGAATTACATTAAATAATTAATAAATGATAAGTAAAATTATTTTTTAACTAGCAAACGTTGATAATGTTAAGTTTATAATGGATAATGCTTGTTCTAAACAAAATAACGATAATTGCAATACAGCATACACTAAATTAGTGAGAAGTAATTTAGTGAACTTTAGTATGTAAACAAAGATGTGCTCAATATTTTTTCATTATTTAATCTTAAACATATTAAAGAATTCAATATATAGTTATTAAAGAAATAGTTATTTTTGCTAGAGATAGACTAGTTCAAAGCGTATTTATGAGAAAGATCACTTTTCAGTATTTTTTTGTATATATATATATACGAGGTGTGTTCAAAAAGTACCCGGAATTACTAATAATTAAATTTCGCGGGTCTGGAGTGTCTGATTGTCAAAATTTTTTTTTTATTGTGTTGGTATACATGCCCCTAAAGTATGATGAAATTTTCAGCTATATTCACTGTTTACTTTGTCTGTGGTAGTCGCTAAGGTTCGACGTGTTTTTCTGAGCTCGGCGATTTTTACAATGGAAGAATTGAAAAGTCAAAGAATTTGTATTAAATTTTGCGTAAAAAATGAAATAAAGTGTTGCAAAGTGCAAAAATTCACCAGATATGGCTCCGTGTGACTTTTTCCTATTCCCAAAGTTGAAGAGACCCATGAAAGGACGGCGGTTTTCCTCGATTGAAGAAAATCGCTGAGAGTGCTCAAGAACATATCAAAAAGTGAATATCAAGGGTGCTTCGAAAATTGGAAAAAACGCTGGCATAAGTGTATTATATCTGGGGGGGACTACTTTGAAGGGGACCACATTAATGTAGACGAATAAATAAATATTTTTTTGAAAAAAACGAAAATTCCGGGTACTTTTTGAACAGACCTCGTATATATGTATGGTGTCGGAACCGTGTGGGCTAGGTATATGATATTGTCTAAAAAAAAAAAGCTCACGCAGGGTGTCTAAAAATAAAAAAAAATGAGCCCACCTATATTATTGAAATATGTATATTTGAAATTGAAATTGATTATTATATTGTTATAGTCCAAAGACGACGGCAAGGTTTCATACACAAAGACATTTGGATGATATTGACAGCCATGCATTGATTAATCATGGTGATTTACATGTACTAGATTTTATGCCTTCTTTACAAACATTGTGCATAAATATTGTGATCGAACATAGGCTAGACCAAAGACATTTACCGCCAATGGTTCAGTAAGTTATAAACTCATTTTACCAACCTTGTAAATTATGTATCAAGAATATAAAATCAAAAATATACCATAGATTGATCTTAAAAAAGGAATTTTCTACACTCTAAATTCATTGTTGATAAGGAAGATTCTCATTGGATATAGATTGGAATATCCAATTAGAATCATTCACAGCTGATGAAAATTAATGTATTGACATCAGATTTTACCAATCTTGTAAATTATTTATCAAGAGTATATTATCAAAAATATAATATAGATTGATCTTAAAAAGAAATTTTCCATACTCTAAATTCATTGTTGATAAATATGATTCTCATTGGATATTGATTAGAATATCGAATTAGAATCATTCACAGCTGCTAAAAATTAATGTATTGACATCAGCAGCAGCATTAAGTAATGATTTTAATAGTAACCTTTCATGATGGTATTTGAATTAATACTTTTTTGGTATACATTCTTTTACTATATATATATATTAGATTTCTTATACATGAAGTTCTTTATGTAATTTTATTTCGAAAAAACAATTTAAAGAACTATTTTTTTCTTTTTCAGATGGGATATTAAAGCTATGACAACACAAAATAGTATAAGCCGACCTAAACATAGTGCTGGATAAATAAGAAACATAGGTTAAGAACAAAGAATTTATTTTGCATTAAAATTATAATATCTTGTAATAAAAAAAGCTATTATAAAACATTCCATTGTTTAATTCTTGCATTTTCTTCCATTATGGACCAATTTGGAGAGGGCTCATTGGAGAGCCAATTAAAATCCCCTACATCACTCCAATTATTTACATCTCTTTGTAAAGCAGCACATTGAAAGTCAGAATCAATTCCAGCATAAATGTAATTATATGGAGCAAATCTTATATTGGTACTATCTTCTAAAATTGCCCTGCTTGTAACATGCAAATATACGTCTACGTTTTTAGAAGAATGTAGTCTCAATTGCTGGCAAGCAATGACTAACTTACTATTAATGCATTTATCAGCAAATATTGATGTAGTTACAGGACCACAAATCACAGTGCTGTCTTGAATGTTTGACATGTGAAGAGTATTAGGATAGCCAGTAATTATTACAGTGCATTTATATATGCTACTTAACGTAATATCCTTTTTATTAACCTGTTCAGCATAAAGATATAAAATTTCATTCTCCTTTAAATGAAATCCACATTGTGATAAATTCCAATCATTACACTTATTGAGACATAAATCTGTCATATCTTTACTTTTTGTATCCAAGTCCTTCCCAATAATTTTATCATTTAATAAGAGCTTTTTATTTTTGAACCCAAATTTCCGCTTTGGAATATACTTGATTTCTTGATCACATAAAACATTCTGTAGAGATGAAATAATTTCTTGACAATTACGAATTTTGAATTCTGTTAAAAATAGTGTGGAATCGGTTACATATTGTTGTACTTCTTGCAAAAGCTTCCTAATGACATTAAAATGAACAGGTAACTCATTTATAGGCTTAGAGGAAGTTTCCTCTAGCAATTGATTTATTTCTTGCTTTTTTTGTGAAAACACATTACAGAAATAATCCAATCCCTCACTTTTCACAAATTCCTCTTCTCGTTGCTTATGTGTCTCTTCCATGTGTTTCTGACGTAATTGTTCTCGCTTTGACAGGCGCGAGTGCATAATTTCTCTGTTCTTTTCTATGATATTCATGTTTAAGCTACAAAATACTACAAATTTAAAAATTTAATTCCCTGGTGTGAATCTTCCTCTTGCTTTCCTGTACAATGGCTCATCAGTTTCTGCAGCTGTTTGCAATGCTTCCAAAAAAGCAGCACGTTTATTTTTCCGTTCCTCTAATTCTTTTGGATGACCTTTAGGAACATGTGGTGCTAAATATGAATCATCTGGAGTACAAAGGACAAACAAAGAGTAACCTAAACCACCACAACCAACCAACCACAAAACAGACTTTAAAATTCTAGCCATATGGGCTAAAATTTGTTTATTTGATGTTTTGTTCCCGGGACCAAAATTCCAAATCTAGTTGACGGGCACTGTTTTCTTTAGAGAAGTATTCACCTAATGAATAATATTTATCAAGTACCCACGGATGATTTTGATGTAAGTAAAATCTGAAATCTAGAGAATACTATTATCAGAAATGGTCGATCAAATTCTAGAATATTCGAAGTATGCCGTACCTCTGTTTGAATTCACACGATGATAGAATAAATAGGAGAGACCAAATGCTGCAACTTCGAAAAATGTGATAGCAATAACACCTTTTTTAATCAAGCGCACCGCATTTCTCTTCGGAGATTTATGCAACATCACGTAATTTACACCGAAAAATTAATATAAAATATCATACCGTAAATTTTGGCCGTGTCGGAACTGGGATTTTACTTAATGAGTCAAAGTGTCAAAGATATGTCATTATGATCGAAATCACGAATACCAACTCGATAATGACATATAACATATGATACCAACCTTAACAAAGCGGAACTTCTACTGATAATTGTTTAACTTGTATATAACAATTATTAAAATATATTTTTCAATTCCTTTCTGCTATTTGATGTTTCGACCATGTACTTGATGTACAAGTTGCTTATTGTTATTCTCCTGTTTACACGTCATGTTTTTCTAAAACAACTTCAGCTCTAGTAAAATGATTATCAAATATAGCTATTCGTTACTTAGTGGTATTTTGCCCGAAGAAACATGTGAATAAAGGACTTTATCAATCAGAATTTAAATAAAATTTATTTAAATAAAATTTTTAACTGCTTTCGTTAGTTAGATTTCCAGTTGATATCTTAAAAAAAACTTTTGATCATAATTATGTTAATTAAATTCATTTATTTAACACATTCATTTTACTTCGTAAATGAAAATTATTTATTTATTTATTTAAGTATTTTATTTAAGTATGGACGTTAAAGATGTAACCGATGTACATATATAACTATACAGCGTATGTGGAAATTATTCTTAACTTTGAATTTTTATAGTTAAACATTTTTTTGTATGCCCATATATCTAGTTTGTTCATATAGACCACTACAACAATAATTATGAAAAATGGCTCAGCTGATCTTCACCAAAAACTAATCAGCACAATTCCCAGCTGATATCTTTCCACTGGTTTTTAAATTGTTAAAATCGATTTAGGATTTGTTTAAACTTTCGGAATTTTTACTCTTCATGTTTTTGTCAGAAAATTAGCGATTAGTGAATCGGATTTTCTGACAAAAACATGAACTTTCCTTTCGGGAATCTAAATGTATTCTTTTAATTGATATGAATAAATAGTTAATTACCTATTATAAACATTTAGGTTTTTGGACTTATTAATTAGTTATATGACAATAATGAAACAATATTTTACTATTCCTTCATAATTATATTCACGGTATAGAAACGTATTAGAATTTCAAGCTTCAACCTGAGAAATATATAGATCGATGTAACTTATTTTTATCAAATTTCATAATTTTAAGAAGAATTTATAAATGTTATAGAAATATTTATAAAAATTCTTAAAAAATCTACATATATGCGTTCAAAATATGCATATAATTTTGCAATCAATATTGTCACTATGGTGATAAAAAACTGTTTACTTGTTTTCATTATAAGCATATGAAAAGTATTTAAGTAAATTTATAATTTAGAAAAATGTCAGATACTAATCCGAAAAAAGGTATATAAAATGTTTACTATAATTTTATAAAAAACTAATTAAAATTTCTAATTACTTCATGCACAGGTGAAGATTCATTAAATTTTCAAGTTCACAGTTCCGACGTAACTTGATTAAAACCAATATATTATTGGCGCATGAAAATGCCCGGTTTTTATAAATTTTTTTGCTAATTATGTTTACAGGTATCAGTTCGCTTTATTATTTTGTTATTCAATAATTATTTTTCATGTCGTTGATGATGAACTAGTTAGTTTCAAAAGACTAATTCATCCAGAAACCATGAAGACGGGTGGAATTAAATACGAAATGGTTTTATTATATTAAGATGAATGCTTCACTACAATCAATCAATGATAATCAGAAATATTTCAAGCGCATCTAGATCGAATTTAGTTTTAAATTATTTTATAGCGCCTAACACACAAAAGGGTTAAAAATCAATAACTGATTAAGTTTTGATGTCTTATAATAATGCATGCTCATGATATCTTAAGATATCATTATCAAATAATTAATTATGATGTTTACGTTGTGTATTTTTTATAAGCAGAAGATGGAACTGATGATGAAGGTGAAGATCTTCCTTTGGATAATGATAATTACACTTCAACTATTGAAGGTAAACATAGATTAATAATACGCAGAATTGAAAATGCTGCATAATTTATTTTTAATTTTAAAATTATTGAAAGTTGCATAAGCAGATTTTTTTGTAATTTAATAAAACTATATCTAAGATTTGTTCTAGCTGAAGAGAGATCTGAATCGACTTCTTACAGAGGAACAATTGATGATAGCGGAAATGAAAATGTAGAAGAGGAAGGTATTGAAGATGAGTCCATGATAGAAGAAGAATACATTATAGATCAAGAAAAATATATTTCCCATCCATCGTTAAGTCCAAATGGAACGCTTCCACTAGAAATATTGGAATTCCAGTATCCTTTTCACAAGAAACCACGGCCATATTTAGCGTTTCAATAGGGCATTTCCTTCACTATTATTGACATGATACGATCATGTTGAGTGTATAGTTTATTGTTTAATTTTCATTTAAGTTTGCACCTATTTAATTTGAAATTCTCTTACGTCACATATTTTTCTACATTCTACTTCTAAATGAATACAGTTAACCTTATGTAAAAGTATCGATTCTGAAAAAGGCGTTTTTAAATTTGATTAAGGTAATAATTTATATAGAAGTTCTTCATATCTCTGAGCCATACTTGTTTCCTTAACTAGTATTTAGAAATTCGTTTGGTTATGACTCTGGTCGGTATTTCAATTTATGCGTAATAGAAGAAGATATATTACTCTTCGCAAATGGAAATTATTTGAATATTTACTATACAAAAACTAAAACGACAGACTATATAAGAAGTCCTTTAGGATGTGGTTTTGGGCATATTGTGGTAAGTTGAAACAGGCGCGTATTTATTATTTAATTACATGACTTAATTTTTTTAAATTTGCACGATAAATATATAGAATATGATATGAAATGGAGTTGTTGCATTTCAAACTTATAATTTTTATTTAATTATTATAATATTTGGCAAATGTTGATAAAAAATTGTTTAAGTACTTTTACCGCGCAAAATATTTATATAAACCACTGACTAAATAAATAAATAAATTATATATATATATATATATATATATATATATAATATTTATATATATATATATATATATCTACCAGGTATGAAATGCAACTACGGATTTAAGAAATTTAATTCATATAACAATAAGTTTTGAAGTCTGATGATAAACTGCGTCATTTAGAAACATTTTTACTTTAAGAAAAATCCTAATCCTGATTATCATCATGTGGCTATCGGCATAAATGGACGGGATCCGCCGATACTGATTTATGATTGGCCAACAATGGAAATAATTCACGTTCTTAAAGAAGGGACAAAAAATTCGTTCTCCCACCTCAATTATAGGTAACAAGCAAACTTTACGAAAATAAATATATGGGACGCAAATTATAATTTTCAATTTTAGCCCCGATGGAATGCTTTTATGCTCCCAGGGAGGTGATCCTGATTACAACATCACAGTTTGGAATTGGCCCAAAAGCAGCATCCTGCTACGCACCAAATGCTTTATCAATGATGTAATAGGTAGATACAGTAAAAGAGCTTTTCACATTTTTATATTTTAGAGCAAAATGTTAAACTTTCTGTAATTATAGGATTGATGTTTTCGCCATATTGCGAGGGGCAACTGACTACTTGCGGTTTGGGTCACATAAAATTCTGGAAAATGGCACGCACATTTACAGGTTTGAAGTTGCAGGGAGAAATTGGAAGATTTGGTAAAACTGAAATATCTGATATCATAGGCATTTATCCTATGCCTGATGAAAAGGTATAATTCTGTTATATATGTATATTACTTAAGAGAACATACATAGAAACATTGAAAGAATATTACTATATATTAAAATTATATAGTAATAGCAATATTTTAGGATATAGTCAATATCGTTTAAATTTATTTTTTTTGATTTTTAAGAAAAAATATTATAAGTACTTATTTTTAATAGGTTCTATCGGGATGTGATTGGGGCAATATCCTAGTATGGGACGAGACTCTTATTAAATTTGAAGTTTGCAGAAAAAATAGAGAACGTTGCCATAATGGACCCATAACTCAATTTGAATATAATGTGGAAAGCAATGAAATTATGACAATAAGTATATTTTTCATAAAATATTATATCTGTTAATGATTGTTTTGCAATTAGATTATTTTCAGGTCTAGATGGATGGGTTCGGATATGGTATTGGGAAACAGTTGAATTAGCTGATCCTCCTGAAAACGATCGTTTTGTAGAAATTGATCCGATATATGAATTTGATATTGGCAGTGAATATCGATCCGTGTCTATTATGTCAATGCTGAAACAAAGTCCCGATCCTACTGATACTTTTTGGTATGCACAGGTAATTTAAAAATAATAATCACAATTCATACACTAAAAAAGAATTAAAATAATAATAACAATTCATGAACTAAGAATGGGCATATTTCTAGTAATAATTTTTTGGTGGAAAGGTGACTATTAATTCATCCACAATAAGTATTTCAATCAAATCTTATTATTAGGACGCGCATGGTGGTATATGGTTAGCAAATCTTACAACAGAAGTTATTCCTGCTCCAGATGCAGTCCAGGTGTTGAAAAGCCATTGTGGACCTGTTGTGAATATAGCAACTGCACCCGCCAGTAATTACATAGCAAGTTTAAGCTCTCGAGGCAGAATTCAAATACACAATTATATTTCGAAGAGATTAATATTAGAACATCAATTCATTGCCGCTGCTGGCGACTTCACTTGGTTACCCATAGAGGCAAGCTATACATTCAGATATTCAATTTTACTATTTGTTCATGTTATTTAATGAAGTTTTGAATGCTTAAGTTTCAATTTTTGTAAATAATTTGAATTTGAATTGGTTATTATAAATAGAACAAATATTCATAGAAATGAAAACAATCAAGTAATAAATTCTTGCTAAATGATTTTAAATAAAAATCAGTAAATCTATGCATGTCAAATGTTCAAATGTAGTTACTAAACTTTTAATTTTCGCCACATTACTTAAATAACTTTCTCAATGATAAAAATTTTAATTGTGTCATAATTCGGAAATATATATAACAAGAGTGATAATTGATCGATCGATCGATTTTAAGTCTTGTATAGATATGATCAAACTGCTAATGTTATTCTGATGGATTAATTTTAGTGCTTCGCAGGACATATAGCAGTGTGGTATCCATTAAAACAAGTTTAATTTAATTGAATATTTACGCATTAGCTCTTCATTACATTCAATAATAAATTTTATCCAACAGACAGATCCAACAAGTTCTCTATTAGCAGTAGGCCTAGCGGATGGTGTACTTAGGCTTGCTTATATATCGATAGTGCGCGAAAGTGACAAATCTTTCGGAAACGATGGCAGCTTGATTTTAATACAGGTGCGAAACACATAGTCTTGCTGAGTTGACAATATTAGTTTACACTAATATAATTATATTATTTTAGGCAATAAAACCCCATTCAATGCCAATAACGAAAGTTTCATGCAATCCTCGAGGTACAATACTTGTGACAGGATCTGAAGACTGCACGGTTTTCTTGTTTCAATTTGTTAATGATGAACAATTAGTTAAATTGGAACCGATTGGATTCATTCAGTTAGAATCGGCCGTATCGTATATAACTTGGAAACCAAATTATGTAAGCCAAAGTAAAAATATAAATAAATTATTTGTGACATATTATATATAAAGCTATCTCAAGAGTTCTTTATCCACTTACTAACTATAAGTGAACAAAATATTCTATAGGCTGCTACGATCTTTGTCGGATGTAAACTTGGACATTTTGCGGAAGCAGATCTCCCGGAGCAAAAAAGACTTTATACAAATATATCGTTTCTATTAAAACATATTGATTTGCGTACTGGCAGATTTACAAGTTGCAAAGCAGAAATCAGACGTGAATTAAAAATTCAGGAAATTGCCAAACGTAAAGCTGATAAAGTGGAAAGAAAACGTCAAGAATTAGAACAACTGAAAAAGGATAACCCAGCTGCCGTATACGATGAAGAGATGTATTTGGGTAAGATATTAATAGTGCAGTAAACGGAGAGGAAAGAAGGGTAAAACCTCTGAATTTTTTTACAGTGCTCCGAATTGAATAAAATTTTGGAATTAGGTTCATCTTACCCTCAAGTTCAAAAGTGAAAACAATTCGGGTTGCGCCATCACCCCCCGGGGGGATGACACCCCTTCTCAATTGTGTAATTACATGTTTCATTCATTCATTATAGGCATTCATTATAGACATCTTCATGGATTATAGCACATTCACTGCTTTAGTACAAACTATTTTCAGAAAACTCACGATTTTATAAAAACTTTTTTTTCCAATTTTTTTAAAAATCGAAATTATTTTCATTATATCTCAAAAAGAATAAAAGATACGTATAAAAGCATATAAATCAAAATCAACGGAATCTTTCTGGCTTATTATTGTTTTTTATTATTTTTCTTTCACACAAAAATTGAAAGAGTTATGAATATTTAAAGACTGCGCGGCCGCGCAAATTGAAAAAAACCGTGAGTTTTCTGAAAATAGTTTGTACTAAAATAGCGAATCTGCTAGAATCCATCAAGAGGTCTATATTGAAGTGAATTCTAGATGGAATGTGAATTACTTTAATTCTGGTGGAAACGGCGCTCATTAAACCACATGATTTAAAGCTCACTCATTTTACACGCAAAAAACTTGTAACAGCACTCATTTTAAAGCTTATGTTGAGCACTATAAAACCAAATTTCACCGAAATGCATAAAACGTAAAACCTCGCCACTAGATGGCTTTAAATACAACAATTAAATCTTGAACGAAATAAAAAACGACTTTGCTCTTTCAAATCTTGTTTAATATTTTTCCTAGAACACGTTATTTAATGCCGATTTATTAAGATTTTTATTGACATCATTTTGGTCATTACATGATTTTCGTTAGAATGTATATTTTAGGAGATATTTGCAAAAAAACGAAGAAAAACGCGAAAAATATATGAATCTTTAGGCCAGTAACTTGAAAAATATTAGTTTTTTTGAAAAACTATAAAAGACATTTTTTTCTTACAATTAGTTCTTCTATCAATTTCCGACGCTATTTTGAAAAAATGTAATTACACAATTGAGAAGGGGTGTCATCCCCCGGGGGGTGATGGCGCAACTCGAATTGTTTTCACTTTTGAACTTGAGGGTAAGATGAACCTAATTCCAAAATTTCATTCAATTCGGAGCACAGTAAAAAAATTCAGACCCTAAACGCACCGTTTACTGCACTATAAGGAAAGTTAAATGTTTTCATATCTGAATTAGCTGTTAGTGAATGTCCAATTAAAATTTAGAACACAATCAAATATTTATATTATTTTCAAGCCGACTCGGAAAGCACAGAAACTTTGGAAGAAATATATATTCCGCCACCGAACTCCATATTTTGGGCAGAATACACTTCAGATAAAACTGTATGGTTGAATATGAGTGGATATGACGCCGGATACATATATGAATATAATATAAATACCGGTAAATGTTTTGGTGCCACTATGATTTATGAAGGAGATGATAAGGAAATTCGGACTCGTTGTTACTAGTAAGCGCAATTTCTTATATAACTAATTAGAACAACGAACTTTAAAAAATATATAATAAAATCGGACAAGAACTCATATGAGAAGAATATGGATAGATCATAATGCATATCCTAACGTATACAAATTATTCGTTTTGAAAGTTTATAGCGATTTTTGCTTTTACTATATATTAATAACCAACAATAAAAATACCTCAAGTTATTCTTAAATCGAAATAGGATTTTTATTAATGTCTATTTTTAGCCACAACAGAAAGTATTTAGTGTTTGGTATGCCTGATGGAGCTATACGAGTAAATCGAGTGAATGAAGAAAATTTTCGAGATCTCACAGATTTTTGGATATTTCCTATGCATGAAAACTTAAATGGAGCAATTAATGGAATACAATTTAGTTATGACGGAAGGTAAAACCATTACAAAAATAGTGCTGTTTTTTTGACTAATGATATGAGTAATCCTTTACTGTTTACAAATACATATTGTAAAAAATAATATCAGTTTAAGTTCTTAAAAAAAATTGAAAGATTTCATATTTGGACATAGAGAGCAAAAGAATTAATTCACGATTGATGCCTTGTGATATATTCTTGTTAGACTTTATTAATCTTTCATTCGATTCGCTTGTATGATAAACGTTATAACTTTAACGCTTTATTAAAAGCATTAGAAAAATTTATTGTAAACAATAAAAAAAATATGTTATATATTTTCAAATAGATACATGTTCAGTTGCGGCAACGATGGAAATATATTCTGTTACCGTGTTTTTCCCGAAGATGACGATTATGTTGAAATTCTACCAGTGAAGAGGACGTATCTGGGAAAGGTACATACTACATAATGATTGATACAAAAAGTTATGCGATAATTGATATTCCATAAATTCTGTAATATTTTGTGAAGCTTAAAGCTTTTCTATTATATAATTGTTATATTCAAAAAGTCAATGAAATATATTCTTAATTATTGATCTGGAAAAGAATGCTGATTATTGAAAAACGGTTGCCAGGATTTGAATTTTATTTGATGATATTCAAACTAATCTATTGAATGTATTGTCAGTATAATACTGTCAATATTATTCCAATCCCTTGAAGTTATTTTTATAAATAACAATTATATAGTATATCTTTGTATAAGTAAATTAATTAATAAATTGTTTAATAAAACTTTGAATCTAAAATATAAATATTAGCCTCCAGCTCAAGTACCAGATATAGACGACTCCGATCAATTATCTTTGGAAGGAGTTAAAAATAAAGCCGAATATGACGAAAAAATGAGAGTGGCGAATGAAAGAAAAAGCAAAGTTTTGGCTACACTTGCTTCTTATAGAAATGCACTTAGAAAATTATTTAAAAGGTAATTTATATTTATTACCAATACCGTGCTAGAAAATTTTTAATGTATCCTTATATACAACTTGTAATAGATTACTAATAATTGTATTGATAAAATTATTAAACGAATTACTACTACTGCTACTTAAATTTGCAAAACATATAAAAATAGTAACAAAAATTTAAAATTCGATAATTATTCGATAAACAACCCCATTTCAAAGACTCCACAAGATCTTCACACAAATTATTTGACATTTTCTGTATTTTAAAGAATTTACTTATTTAACTCCCTTTATCACATTTTGTTGCAATATTTAATATATTTTGCAATTGCACAACTCATCAATTCAAACTTCTTAGTAATCTTTGTATATTACAGAAATCGAACTTTGCTGCCATCCCAAGTAATACCAATAGAAGACTTTGAAATAGATGACCGAGTGACGTGGGATTTGGATGAATCTTTAGAAATGGAAATGGAATTAGTGGAGAGAAAGATGGCCTTCGACTTGGCAAAATCTACAAGGGCATTAGAAAAAGCAAGAGAGTTCTTTATAGATCCAATACGAAATTTACAGATAGAACTGCGAGCAATCAAGTAATAATATATGTTTTAGCAATGAATATCCAGTTTTAGAAAGAAAGTTCTTGATATAAGATCATAAACTTCATTTGTGTTATGTAGTAGAATGTCTACATCGATTGGTAATTTTTAAGACATTTAAAAACCTTAGAAAACTTTATTATTACTTATTTTTACGTTTCCGATAAAATCGATAAAAACACTATACAAATCAAAAACCAATTACATAAAATTAGTGTAAAATGTTAAGTATAATATATAATACTAATAAATAATACCATAAATATATCGATGAATTTACTTTTGCAGAAGTAACCACTCTGTGAAAACATTCCGTGTACGAAAGCTAGATTCACATTTCTTTGATGCAAAATTCGAAATAATGTCTAAATTACAAGGACCTCGTGATACAGGCAGGTATAAAAACCAATAGATATTAATACTAATATTTGATTTATAAATTAATAATAACATTTTCTAAATTCATGAACATAGAAATTAATAAAAAGGAAGAAACTTCTGAGTGAGTACTGAGATAAATTTCAAGTAATCTGAAAATGCATGGTTTTTATATTTATTTTAAACTGGGTGCACTTTCTTCCACTTGTAGTTCATTTAGTATTCTACAATATTCTTAATAGAGTTTACATCTTTTTCTCATGTTTTTGTCTATTATAGATGCACGTCTATTTTCAGTATTTAGTAATTGCTTCTTTTTATTCAAAATCAAAACGCAAATTTTAAAACGTTGTCTTTGGCATTTGTTTTTAATGCACAATCAAGGATGATTACCATAGCACAACATGATACCTTTGTCTAATTTCACTTGTAGATTTTAAAGCAGCAATCCAGGCAACTCAAATGAATTCCTAAGTTTTGTGAGGCAATTGAAGCAGATTGATTGCAGCCAATAGTAAAGTTATTAAATAATAAAATTTCATTATTTGGCAAATGCATTCATATCGAACTGATGTCCTCACACATCTTTTTGAATTCAACAGTTGAGTAAGATTATGCCCAAATACGGATTCTTAATGAATTCATAATGCTAGTCAAATGCAATATTGAGTTGTAAACTAAATATCAAAGTTCAAATCAATATGAAGATTTTATAGTATTTACCAAATATTGGTCCACAGAATAACAGAAGAAAAACAAGCATTTAATATACTGGATCGTGAGATTACACATCGTGTGGGCAAAATTGAATCATTTTTAGTCGGACTATCAAGTTCTACAATTGAATTTGGCCTGGGCACAGAGATCAATCGAGTTCTTAAAAAGTACCGTGACAGAAGAGTTAAAAAGGCAAATAGGCAATTGCAGGTAATCATTTTCAGTAATTATATATACTAATAAATATTAAAAAAAATTCTAAATCTTTATGAAATTATATCATTAATACATTTTATAAGAGTAGTGTTTGCATTAATGTAAATATGAGAATATTCTAATAAATGCTCGTCTACAAAAGGAACCAAGACATATGGAAAATTCTGCTCACAAAGATGTATTTATGCATACGACGTTTTCTTTCGAATTTTGAACTATTCTGATAAACTATTTATTTTACCTATTGTAGTGGGATGAATTGAACGCTGTAAAACCAGATCCAAATAAACATCATCCTGATGACTTAGCAGCTTTGGAGCAAGCCAGAAAAACTATTGGTGATTACAAATTGAAAACTGATGATGACTATAAAGTTCCTGAAGAAGAAAAGCATACAACCTTGACTAAGTATCAGCAGCTAATAAACATACGAGAAGAAGTGAGATAATTTTAAATATCAATAGTTTTAATAATCATTCAGTTTATCAGTGAAATGACTGAACCGACTTTATCCATACTTCTGTAACGTATATTTGCCAAAATAAAACTGGTTAATTAATAATGGTAATGGTACACCTACACTTATTTACCCGTATTTGTAAGAAAAATATAAAACTTCAAATTCCGGTTTCATACATAATTATACACTCTTTGAGCCTTTACTTCTAAAATTATCTATAAAAATGTAATAATATAATATAAATCGATCGTGACCGAAAATTATGCCCTTAAATAGATGTTCAAGCTGCAGAATAATTTCAATGAGCAAGTATTTGAACTGAGAGAGAGCAAACTGATATTGACGTCCAAAATTGTTGCACAGAAGGCAGAGTTACAAGAAATTCAAGAAGAACTTTTGCCAGAATTTGTCAAACCATTACCAATTCCACCAGAAATAGATGTAGATACAGAATTTCCAGAAAGGGCTTTAAAGGTATTCGATTTTGTAACATTGTGTTTAAATTCAATTTTTCAAGAATATCCTATTTATACTTGTTTTATGAAATTATGAAATTTATGAAAGCATATTTAATGTACTTAGTTATTAAATTTAGGTTCGAATTATTACAACGGATCCAGCTACTGGTAGAAAACGACGAGCTTCCACAATTTATGACCGTGTAAAACCAGTCGTTCGTGGTAAAGATCTAGAAAAAGAAGTCCTCGGTGTACATGGCTTTGAGACTGAAAAAATTATTGCTCTAATGGAAAAGAATGAACCAAGTATTATTTTTTGTAAACATACTAAAATAAAAATGCAGTAGTTTTATAGTGAAGTAATTTCCTAAAACTGTTTGATCAATCATCAGTTGAATTTTATCAATTGATAGCAGCTCAATGTAAAGTATTACTTTAAATCAACTAATTAGAAAATTATTCAAATCAGGGTTTATTGTTTTTTTTATAGAAACTGTTGATATTCCCTCCTTAACTTTGGACTCATTGATATCAATGGCTCAAACTGATGAGTCGGAAACTCCGTGGGAATTAGAGCTCAAAAGACTTCGCCAGAATAGGTATTATATATTTGTAAACAGTTCAATTTATTAAATTAGTCCTTAAAATAATATGAAATAAAATAAACTTTAAAGTTTAAAAATCTATTGCAAAATAGGTATTTTTTTAATTTTGTTTAATAAAAGTAAAAATTTAAATATCTTGAAAATAAATTTCTTACTATTTTTTATTTTCAATATTAGGAAAAACTATGAACAAACTCGGATTCTAAACGACATCGAGGAAAGTATCAGAATGTTTGACGAAAATGTTGCCTATTACGCTGAGCTGAGAATTACTTTAGATGTTCATGTAAAATACCTTGAATTATTTCTACTTACATTACATCAAGAATTAATGATTTTAAAAGTATGTATTACATTTTTATATAATTAAGCTGGCACTTTGTAGTATATTTTTTATTTAATACATTTTAAATTCCGAACTCAGGAGTTTGAAGCAAATGAAGTACTAATGCTCGCCAAAGTTCAAGACAAAATAAATGAAAAAAATGCTGTTGTAAAAAAACAAAATGAATTAAAGTTTAACATAGAAGCAAGGCAAAGATTAATGTTGCAAAATGTGGAGGTACAGAAAAATTTGCAAATCAATTTCATGGCTGCTGTGGCCGATAATAAATTCGTAGATTATTTAAAAGGCATATTCAAGAAAAAATATAAACCACCCAAAGACGTGAATGACGGTACATGCATATTATATATTAGCAGTATTTAGACAATTTGAATAAAACTGAAATTAAAAGTATAATTCATCATTAAATACAATTTGTTACAATTTTCACTTTTTTCATAAAAAGATTCTACACACTTTTATGTTTTTATGTTTTTAGAATCCGATGAAGAATCTTCTGAATCGAGTGAAGAGTCATCAGAAGAAGATTTAGATGCTGCGAGTTTATCATCAGGTGATATCGGATTAATAAAGTTAGATGAGTCCGTTTGTCCTGAAGGATGTGATGTTAATCTTTATAATTTGGCGTTTGAATTGCGTGCTCAGAGGTGACACATATTTCTTTTGAAAATTATTCATAGACCATAATCTTTCCAAGCGATTTAATTCAACGATGTTATTACTTATTTAGGTACACATTTTTTTTCCTACGAATTGCATTTAATTTAATCAAACTTTTTTAAGGAGTATGATATAAATTGAATATGCTATATATTAAATTATTTGTGAGAACTAATATGCTCAGCATTTTATTATAGTATGAGCTATTAAATCATTCTTATCTTTGCCTCTGTGACGAAATAGTATTTTATAAAAAGATACGGAAAAATTAACAGGCTGTTATTCACTTTTATTGATTTTATTAAAAGTGCTTTATTATTTTGAACAAACTACTTGCACTCACTTATTAGCGATCTGTTGCACTTAATTTTTGAGTGATTTATCTATAATATAAAAATGAATCGCAAAATTTGTTGGTAAGTGCATAACTCAACAACGCCTGGACCAATTTGGCCAATTCTTTTTTTAAAATGTTTGTTGAAGTTCAAGGATGGTTCTTACGGCGAGAAAAAATTAAATAATTGCTGGGAAAACCCTAAAAACAGCCCTTTTTTTCACATACAAACGTTAGTATTTTCATATTGTTGCCATCGGATACGGAATATTTACTCAAGTCAATGTAGCGTTTTGGGTCTGAATTTTTTTACTGTGCTTCAATTTGTACGAAATTTTGAAATTAGGTTTATCTCACTCTCAAGTTCAAAAGTGAAAATAATTTAGACTCTTTTGCCATTTCCCAGGGGGATATATGTATGTACATTGCGGTATAGACTGTAGTGTAAAGAAACATAATAATTTTTAACTAATTGGATTATTAAGAAAATTGGAACTTTTGAATTGTAAACATAAGTACAGAACAATGTCTGTCGGGTCATCTAGTTTTAAATAAAGTTTATAAATTTTCAAGACATGAACTGGAAATGAAAGAAAAAGAAGAACAGCGCCAAATAGATCTAACAAATAAAGAAGTCAATGTTATGGACAAACAAATTCGGGTTATAGAAGAAGCATTAAGAGTAAGGCGCGAAGAATTAGCAGCATATCAAGTAAAAAAAATATTACATAAAACATAAAATAAAAATGATAAGTGATTTATAATAGTTATAATAATAATTATAGCGACTAAAACAACAAAAATTGAATGATGTGCAAACAACTGTTGTACTGCGACTTCACCAAATACAAAATTTATCATCTGATGGTTCCTTAGATTCTTTTGAGGATAGTTTGGTTTTTAGCAGAGGCGCTATTGGCAGTTTATTCACCAGAGTAGGAGAATTAAAACATGAAACTGAATTACAAAAAGAAAAACACAAGTAGGTCATAGATAGATAGTTACACATGTGCTATAAGTTTCAAGAAGAAACAATACTCTTGAAAATATTATTTTAATAATATGTGTTGCTATATGGATAAGATAAAAATCGTTAAAGATTGTTTTTCAAGCTATTCTTCAAAATCTTGAAAGTTTAGTTTTTAAAATAAAACAATATTTGTTGAATTCCGATTCCCAAGTTATTTTCATTATATATACAAAAACTGAATAGCTTAATTATTCAATTATTTAAAATTCAAAGGAAAAACCAACGTCATTTATGGCGTATGAATCAAGATTGTTTAGTTATGGAGGAAAGAATTCGTAAACTACGTGAAAGTATTGCAGAAGTAATGTATAGAAAATTCAATCAAATTATAGATTTAGATCAATTAGAAGAAGCAATTTTGAAGAAGTTAGTACACGATCTAAGATTTCGTATGGCTGATGTGCAAAAATCATATGATAAAGAAATTGCTAAATGGAAGGTGAGAGTTTGATGTAGAAACAACTATTTAAAATAAATAAAATGCTTATTATAACAATATAATTTACAAAAATTAATTATATCACAAAAATAATTCTATCGGTTTTATGGGGCGATTGTTAGCAATTCAATCTTTTACTAATTGTTATGTTTCGATAATGATTTGGCTATTTCTTCAAATTTATTTAATAATTTTCCTTTTTCCATTTGGGCATTGTTGTGACTATTAGTTATTTCACTTATTCAAGCAAAACTTTAAACAATAATATATTTTAGCAAACATTATGCACAAAGCAACTAGAAATGTCGAGTTCATTAGAACAAAACACGGAAAAATTAGAAGTTTTGACAGTCTTGCAAGAAGAATCTCTGAAACTATCAAAAATATTGAAGCATCAAGCAGCTAGCAAGGAAGTCATATCAAAGGCTGATGAGATTGAAAAAATATATAAGAGTGATATGAAAGAATTGAAAAGTATAGAAAAAAGACAAGAAGAACAATTGATGGTAATTAGACAAATACAATATAACATTTCAATTTTTGATTTGTTAATTTGGATTAAATAGTTGATTTTTTGTTATTATTTATTATAAGTGTTTAAAGATAAATCGATTCTACACCAGTTTTGTTCCCTATTCTCGCTTACAATTTACTTACAATCCACTTTCCAACCTTCTTCAATTTTTTCATGTGATTCATCGGAGCATTGAAATATCTATTTTCAGTCATTTTTGTTTTTAAATTATTCCTTTGAATAACGAGTCACTTTTTTAACGATATGAATGAAACTACAGTCTAATTCCTTTTCTTTTTCGTTTCATAATTTCATTTTCTAGGGATGTTTTTAACCAAATGTGAAACACATAGTCCAGTCATTTAAGCTTAAATTAGGTAAGAATCTCTAAATTCGAGATACCAAGCTGTAAGTCTGTAAATACTTATATATTGATACCCTAAAGTTGTCTCAAAACTCTACCATATGTAGGTTTTGGGACAACTTTAAGATGTCAATATACAAGAATTTACAGACTCACAGCTGGGTATCTCGAATTCCGAGGTGAACTTACTATAATGACTGGACTATTATTATTTGTGTGACTTTGTAAATCCAATTCATCTCTATACAGGTATCGCCAACCTTTCTTACTCTGATGTACATAATGGAATGATAAAAATGTGGTATCTCGATAATTATCGAATGTAGTAAAATATAATAAACGTAGAATATAAATGCTAATATTTTTATTGGTAATTCATAGAAATTACGCCAAGAGATACGCCGTTTGAAACTTAAATCTGAGCCACTGCCACCAATTACGACGCGACCAAAAACATCAGTGAAAGTAGCTTCTGAAGACTCATTTTCGTACTTTTCATTTAGCGATTATCCACCACCACCCAAAAAAGAGTAAGTATTCTAATTCATTTTAATTTCTTAGTCATGGTTTTCTTAAATACTATTATTGTGATGTTCTACATATGGAACAGTATAAATAAACGACAGTAAATTCCAATTCAATTCAATCCTCCAAGAACTCAAAAAAGAAATCATCAATTTTACATTATGTAAAAAGCTAGTACTATTTTGAAAATTTCAAATTCGCAGTTTAACAAATAGTCTAAAAAAACTTGAGGCAATTGAATCAATTTTGACAGTGGTCCGAGAAATTTTCTTTACGGTTGCGGTTTCAATGTTGAAATAAACAAAATAACAAAAATTAATCACCATATCTGAAAAATGGTCAAAGTTGGACTAAAGCTCTAGGTTGCACTTAAAAGCTAATAATTTTGTACACTGTAAGGAATAAATTTATTTTCAATTTTTTCATGACAGTTACTATAACCTTCTGCTGGATTGACGTTGAGTTCTGGGACACCTTGTATAATATCAATATAAATTATACATTATCTAAGCATAAGCATAAAGAAAAAAGAGTGCGATGAAAAAGAAAACAAACATATTATGTTCAAAAAGTATTTAAGTAAAATTTTAAGCAATTTATACCTACTTTTCAGGTCTCATTTACATGTACTAGTAATTCTCAGATATATCTGAAATGTTCTTTCTTTCAAATTTGTAAAAATTAAGGAATATTAATAGTTTAGAAATTTAATGGATTCATTTTGATATTGATATAAATACCCACCTATGAATTTATTTTTTTATTGCTTATTTTTTAACTTTGTACACAAGTACATTTAAATTTAATTGTTTGTTTGCTGCTTATTGTTATATTGAATTCTGAAATTTGCTAATAAACACTTGAACTATAATACTGATTTAACTTTTTTTAGGCCAAGATACAAAGCAATGTATAGTGCTTTCCACATTTTCTACAACTTAATAGACCGTGTAGGTGGACAAATAGGTTCGAGCATGTTGGTTTCAAGAAAAATTGTGAAGGAACTAATGAATTCGGTTGATGGGGCCGAATTAGCACATTCTACCATCGAAGATATTTTATTTCAGGTATAAAACTATAATATTATATAGTAACATTATGAAAAATTAATAACCATTTTATTTTTTTTTATTCAACGACAACATTGATTTTTCCCTCTATAAAATAGTTTATTAAATCCATTACTAAAAAATCTTTTATATCCCAGGTAAATAATGAGCTTGAAAGCATTGAAAATTACAACTCCATCAAAGAAGTGCTCCAAGAAGTTCTAGACAGAACGATGGAAGGTCCTTCTATAACTATACCGGTAATTAAAATAATATTTAAAATATTGAGAAATATTTTTGAATGAAAATATTCTTAACAGATTATAGACGATATACTAGTAAAAGTTATAGAACAAACACCAGAATTTATAATGGTAAAGAACCTGGTGGATCAGCTTCTTTCCCGAGTAGATATAGAAGCACATAAGGAAAGATTTGATTTAGTAAAAGATATTTTAAAAATCATATTGGATCATTTTCCTACAGACAAGTAAGCCAAATACTTCAACCATTAGCGCGATTTCTAAATTTTAATATACCATTTTTATATTATTTATCTAGAAAAACTATTGAAGATTTAGAAGAGTCGGTTACAAGTATGGTAGAACCTATGAAAAAAGCTATACCTTCAAAAGTCGTTGAAATGACTCCACAAGAAGAGCTTGAGAAACAAATTCGTAGATTGATTTATAATATTCTAGAACAGATTGAAATCATTCAACGTGAAACTGAAGTAGAAGTCGCTCAAATAATGGTGTGTACCAATAAATCATTCTTATGGAAATATATAGAATGCAAAAATTAGCGTATAAAATAAGTGGATTAAATCGTGCAGAGTGCTTTCGTACAATCCTACCCCGAAGCATACACCTTTGTAATACTTTGAAATAAATTCATAGTCCAAGTTTAAATTAGTTAAGAACCTCGGAATTCGAGATACCCAGCTGTAAGTCTGTACATACTTGTATATTGACACCCTAAAGTTGTCTCAAAACCTACGTATGGTAGGGTGTCAATACCATATGTAAGTTTTGAGACAACTTTAGGGTGTCAATATACAAGTATTCACAGACATACAGCTGGGTATCTCGAATTCCGAGATGAACTACATCTGGTAGGGTGTCAATACCATATGTAGGTTTTGAGACAACTTTTGAGTGTCAATATCTCGTATTCCGAGGTGAACTTACTATAATGGCTGGACTATCACTATTTAAATGTTTTAATAAATTTAGTCGCCGCATATAAGACTGTTGAGGATGCATCTTCAAAACTTCTGTTGACGTTCTTCTTTTAGTATAAAATATTAATGAATTCTTATGATATTGAGGTATCATTGTGCTTCAACCATTTCTAACCATTAGTACATTGGTAACATGCGTATTGTTTTGTTCATTTTTATATCATCTATCATAAATATACAAAAGTACTAATATGAAATATTTTCAAAAGAAAGCCATATAAAATTAGTACGATGCTCATGATATCAAGGTTAAAAAAAATAAACGTCAATACGAACTATATTTCACATTATAATATTTATTTCCAGTTCCCTACAGAAGCCCCGCCGAATTTTGAAGAGATGATAAGCCAAGATATAATAGATGAAGTAATTAACAGAGTCATGGATAATTTCTCACTAACAGAGTCTGCTATGCAAATAGCCATCGAAAATGCAATAAAGGAAATGATTAAGAAAATTCCAGAAAAATTAATAAGAATTCGCTATAATTTATTCCAGGTATACATTTTAAATTAAACATATCATACGTCAGCTTCTACTTCTTAGCACCACATTTGCTATTAGAATTGTGAAAAATTTAAATGGGTTCAATTTTTAGTATTAGGGAGATCTCTTAGAAATATGTTAATAGACCAGACTTATCATTTCTCTGAAATAGTTTTAACAAGATGTCCATAAGTCTAATTTGTTTGAAATAATAGGTATGTATTATCAAACATTCTTTACAGGTTGCACGAGAAATGGTAAGGCGAATGTCCATAACATCTATGGAAATAATGCGCGTCAAAGGTGATATTATTGTCGATAATTTAACAGATTTTATCGAGCGCGAAGGACCTGAAAATCTTACTCGTAGTAAAATTGAGCAAATTGTTGGTAACATTATAACGTACATAAAAGAAGAAGCCTTGGGAGAATAGATTCTACTCAGTTATTTCTGAGTAGAATAACTTAATGACTGCAAATTTACTCTAAGGAACGGAACAAACTTTGCCAAAACATTGTCTTTGCATTTATAAATCATTGCCATAAATAAATGAAGAAACATTTCTTAATAAAATATTCTTTCGCACCTGTATAAGAATGTAAAAATGAGAGATTTAAAAATAAAAACTAGCTGTAAGTGGAATTCTGTCTTGAGGCATTTATGGCATCGTGCCTTAAGGCAAATTGCTGGAACTTCCCGTACCGAAATGTTCGAGGAATACTGAATGTTTTCAAATAGATTATTATAAATATTGTAACATTGTCTAATATTTATGAGAATTATATAAACTGAATTGCAGAGTTGAAAATATTTGTAAAGTATATTAGAACTATAGCCAGAATTAAAAATAAAATCTGAAATATTTTTGATAAAACTAAAAAAAAAAAAAAAAAAAAAAAAAAAAAAATTGAACAAAATTTTTTTTTCCAAAATCAATTATTTTGTTAAGACAAGCAGAAAGTTCTTTGAATCATTTAAATCGGACGCTTAGTTCTCTCAAAAACTGCCATTTTTTACATATTTAGCTCCATATCTTCGAAATGGCTGGGCCTGCCTTTGCCAAAAACTAATAAGCACTTCTCCCAATCATTACTAATTGAATGCTTTTTAGATCATTCAAATCAGATACTCCGTTCTCTCAAAAATTCGATTTCTATTTTCTGCACTCTTTGCTCCGTATCTCCGAAACGGCTGGACCTGCCTTTGCCAAAAACTAATCAGCTCTTTTCCCTATCAATAGGAATCGAATGTTTTTTGAACCATTCAAATCGGTTGATCCGTGCGCCCTAAAACGTGACTGGAAATTTGTATCCATACATACATACACACACACACACACACACACACACACACACACACACATCCATTTTTTCTGAGGTATGCCAAAACGTTCAAAAACCTTCAAAACGTCGAGAAATGTTAAAATTTTCAATTCCGATTTTCGGCCCATTACAATAACTTACCCTACGGGAAGTTAATAAAATAAAATAAATTGGAATGATATGTAGTTTGTTATATTTATATTATTATATTTATTTTCAACAAAATTGTTGAAATAAAAAACAATAAATATTTTAAATTATATGAATGTATGTATTTGAATCATAGACCTTATAAAACATATGGTCTGCTAGTGACACTTTTTTACGTGGAAAGCATTATGAGGACTAGCAGTCCATATGCATTATAAGGTCTATGATTTTAATTAAATTTTATGAATGCACGATTTATGATTTTAAATTCAGGGGTAGCCCACGCCCTACATTAATTATTACTTAATGTTTTAATTTAATAGCTAAACATAATATAACGTTTTAATTGAGCTTGCAACGAATATTAGGTTACTATATGCATTGACCCTATTCGGCTGCTTTTATTATATTCAACCGAATACCGATTACAATTATTAATATTGTTATAGGGAGATAATTAATGATATGATATAATTCGATTCGTTGCGTATATATTCATATTTTTATTTCACTTATAATCATTTAACTAGTCAAATCCAATTACTCAGTAATTCTAACTTCTAGGACTTACATGCATTGCTCCCTTTTTTTCGTAAGCCATCCCAGCTACAGAGAAAAGCTCAACACCACCATGTTTTAGATTGCATTCTTGTTCAATAATATGCATATTGGGCCATGGGCTGTAAAACTTATACAACTGATACACTTATAGAAACTTTTAATAATTTGCAGTATATTTCTAGAATTACATTGTCAGAAAAGTAAAGAAATCTTGGTATGTTGCACACACTTTTAATTATAAAAACTGTTGGGTCACACACGTCTGTACACGTTTTGGCGCTAAAATCCGGCTGAATAGTTTTCCTAATATTCGGCTATTCGGTCATGACAGTCTTCGATACACTGCTGAATAACTGTTCATAGCAAGTCTGGTTTTAATGCAGTGTCAAATTTGTGTTTGTATTTGTATCAAATACAAATTCAAAATAAAACTTCTAGATTCCGAATATCTGCAGTCTTAAATTTCAAATTTTAGTTTTGTTTATGTTTTTTCAACTATGAAGTTGTGTTAAGTTAAAGCAGGATGCCAACTCAAGCTAAATCTGACAGTTGTATCAGTAGTACCAACAGTTGTACTGCGCAAGGCAAATAAAATTTGCATCGAATAATTTATCGTTTGCTGTTATTGAGATAAAAATTAAATTATTGCTGTTGATGCTTGCATCTCAATATGTGATCGTTTATCTGTGAAATATTGTATCTGTTTAATTGTGCTAAATATATATTGACGAAGTGCAGATCTCAATAAAGGAATATTTTTGTTATCCTAACCTCTAACAAATCTTTTCACAATGGATCAAATGCTACCCAGCCCAGGGTTTTCAATTCCAAGCATTGGAACACCGCTCCATCAGCCTGAAGAGGATCAGCAAATACTTCCAAATGCTTTACAACAACAAATGCCACCTTTGGCGCCGATGGGGAGCTCCGGAATGTCGAGTTTCTCCAATATGAACATGTCAACAGGCTTAACTCCGACACAAATGATGAGCACCCCACAGAAAACGATGCACACATATTTACCTTTCCAAACTCCACAAAGTCTAATGCAACCACAAACTCCAGTAAGTTTGAGTGATTATAAGATTAGGGGTAGGCTACTAGTATTGTTGCACAACGATAGCCTAATATTAAATACAATTTCAGTGTGTGATTTAAATGACGATTAATTATGTTTTTTTGCAATGTCAGAAATTATATATAAAACAACTAAAGCCTGACAAATATTATACAAATATATACTCATTATTGTAGATTTAATAATGAGTATATAAAATAATAATAATAATATTTTATTTTTATGTTTATAAATAGTTCCTGTGCATCTTTCACTGCATTGTGGAAATCATACTTCAATTGAATGATATTTATAATTATGTACTATATCTTATTTTTTGACGTTACGTAGATTAATAGTTTATACAATTTATTTAACTTTGTATGAGCTATTAGACGTGATTAAATTGAATTGAAGAATAGTAAATATTACAACTGTCTTACCTTCCATAGCAAAATATGATGTCGCCAATGGTTCCAACATTAAGTGGGCCAGCTAGTGTGCAACCACATTCACAAACAATGGGTCCAGCAACTCCTATGACACCCATGACTCCTCAGTCTGCCGATCCTGGAATAATTCCACAACTACAGTAAGTAATATGAAATGATGATTAAAAATTATAACTTGTAGGATTGGTGACATTGTATAATTAAATATAATAATATGTTTTATCTTACAGAAATATAGTTTCAACAGTGAATTTAAATTGCAAATTAGATTTAAAAAAGATTGCGCTGCATGCCAGAAATGCTGAATACAATCCAAAACGTTTTGCTGCCGTTATAATGAGAATAAGAGAACCAAGGACAACTGCTTTGATATTCTCATCAGGTAAAATGGTTTGTACGGGAGCAAAGAGTGAGGATGATTCTAGGTTGGCAGCCAGGAAATATGCTCGAATCATTCAAAAACTTGGTTTTAGTGTAAGTGTATTAAAAATATCAGTTTGCTACATGAAATGCTTTATCTATTCTAAATCACTTTTTTACTATTAAAGCTAAATTAGATTTAATTCATTGAGGAAAAGGCTATTTTTATTGCATATATATTTTGAAAAATTTGGCTTTACAAAATATATAAAAATAATTATTTTAATTATATATATTTGAGTAGCTATATTTTAATTATAAAAATATTTTCAGGCCAAATTTATGGATTTTAAAATACAAAATATGGTTGGAAGTTGTGATGTTAAATTTCCAATACGATTGGAAGGTTTAGTGCTTACACATGGTTCCTTCAGTTCATATGAGCCTGAACTATTTCCTGGTCTTATTTACAGAATGGTCAAGCCTAGAATTGTACTGTTAATATTCGTGTCAGGAAAGGTGGTATTGACTGGAGCTAAAGTGAGAGGTGAAATAATGCAGGCTTTTGATAATATTTACCCAATTTTAAAGAGTTTTAAGAAACAATAGTACTTAAGTATATAATTTTAGTTCAAAGAATTTGAAATAATTTATGACTTGGAGGGTCCAAATGTAAATAAAGTGTATAGTGTAACTAAGCCTGTGACTGACTAATATTTATTAATAATATTATTAAAATATGAGATATTACACAATATATTTAAACTTCATTTTCATATTGAATGATGCAGTTTTGGAAGTGTTATAAAGAAAATCATATGATGGTTTAATTTTCTTTAACACAATTTTTAATATTTAATATAAGATAAAAGATAACAGTGTTATTTAGTAACTTAATAAATCTACCTATTTTATATTAATGATTCATGTAAAATATACATGTAGTATAATGGTGTATGGGGCATTTCACTCAATGTCAGAACTACACACTTTTGAACGATGATGCACTCATTGTTGAGTTATTTTAAATAAATTAATAAAATATGCTTAATTTGTTTCACTTTTCATAATACTTCATTACAGAAGGCCATTACTCATATTTTATAATATCATAAAGATTAGATGAGAACACAACAAACCATCATGAATAAGTGATGTCTAATTATTCATTAGTTTGTATATACAATTTTGGTATAATTTTAAAACATTAGTCACAAAATTCTAAATACTCAAGTTCACATTGATTATTTCTGTCCCATGAATGGGGGCACTGATTTACTTGAAAAGGTTGAAAAAAGAAAATTATCAGAATGAATATGGTTAAATTTAATTCATACTACAAATTCACTTGTCACTCACCAACACAACACCACCTAAGCCTTTTCCAAATATTTTAATTAATAGGTAAATCAAACCTATGCTTTTTCCAAGATAAGTACATAGAAAGAACAAGTCAATTTCTTATTTTATTGTAATTTGTAGAAATACAATTTTTGATAAAAAATTTAAATTAAATTATAAGCAAGCAGCC